ATGTCATAGTCACTTTGAAAGACAGTTGACAACTACCTACAAAATGAATCATACTATTACCTTCCAATCCAACAATTGCACACTTTGATATTTACTCAGATGAATTAAAAACTTATGTTTAGGTCATTTGCCCATTTTTCAATTAAAAAAAAAGGATTATTTATTTAATTACATTAATTATTACTATTCTTTGATTTGACCAGAGAGAGAGGGAGAGTGAGAAAGCAAGCTGCCAGGTCCAGGACTTGAACCACAGCTGGCCATGTGAAAGTCTGGCGCCTTAATCACCATGCCACCTGCCAGCACCTAGTCTATTTATTTATTTATTTATTTATATTGTTGAGTTCAAGAGTTATTTTGTCTTTGAGCAATTGGCCTTTATGTCTTTTGCAAATATTTTCACCCAGTCTGTGGCTTGTCTTCTCATTCTCTTGGTAGTGTATTCCTCAGAGAAAGAATAATCAATGGATCTTGAGCAAAGAGAACAAAACTGGAAACATCAAAATTTCTGCCTTCAAATTACATTACAAAGTGATAATGATTAAACAGCATGACATTTGCATAAAAATAGAAACATAACCAAAAGAACAAAATATGAGCTCAGAAATGAGCCAACACATTTATTGTCAATTAATTTTCAACAGTGGTGCTAAGAGCATACAGTGAAAAAACGTAGTCTCTTTAATGAGGGGTTTTGGGAACATTGGGTATCCCCAAACAAAAGAGTGCAACTGGACCCCTATCTTACACCACCATATAAATATCAACTCAAAATTGAATAAAGACATAAATGTAATATGCAAAACTGTAAAAAGGAAAAATAGGGCCAAAGCCACATGATATTTGTCTGGGCAATAATATTTTGTATTTAACCCCAAAAGGTCAAGCAACAAAAGCAAAAAAATTGACAAAAAAGATTACATCAAACTAAAAATCTTACACACAGCAAAGGAAACAACAGAATGAAAGGACAACCTACAGACTGGGAGAATATTTTTCAAGTTATACCTATGATAAGGGGTTAGTACCTAAAATATATAAGAGAGTGAAAGGACTCAATAATAAGAAAACAATCTGATTTTAAAATGTACAAATGATGTAAAAAGACATGCCTAGGTACCAGTAATTGGCATAATGGCTATGTCACTGGACTGTCATGTAGTCGACCACAGTTTGAGTCCTGGACCCAGTGACTTAAACTCACGCTGGGTTCGTGTACATGCGTGCCCAAGATCCCAAGAGGAGAATGGAGGAGAAGGGATTGCGGCATGACCATTCCCCCTAGGGGGTGATTTCTTGCTTTCTGTCTCTCTGTCTCTGTCTTTCTGGAGAGTGCATGTGCCCTATAGCAAAAACCTTTCCAGAAAAAAAAGACATGCCTATTATGAAAAATATGAAAAAACTATGCATGGATTTCAATTTTTTTCACAAAAATAAACTCATACTTTAATTTCATTTTTTTTTTGGAGAGATTTTCACTGTAGGGCGCGTGCGCTCGCCAGACAGACAGAGAGAGACATAGAGACAGAAAGCGAGAAATCACCCCCCAGGGGGGATGGTCACGCCGCAATCCCTTCTCCTCCATTCTCCTCTCGGGATCTTGGGCACGCACGCACACGCGCCCGGCGTGAGTTTTAAGCCACCGGGTCCGGGACGCGAACCGCGGTCGACTACGTGGGAGTCCAGCGACATAGCCATTACGCTAACTGCTGGTTCCCCCTTTAATTTCATTTTTTGATGAACTTTTTGAAGTCGCCTTAGAAGTACCCAGAGAAGATGTCTCTTGCCTGGCTTATTTTAGTTAGGATAATGTTCTAAAGGTTTTTCTATGTTGTGAATGACAGAATTTCTTTTTTTTCTTAAGCCTGACTAGTATTCCACTGTGTACATATATCACATTCTCTTTATATATTCACCCATCAGTGGGTGCATCCATTGATTGGTTTCATATCTTGGCTATTTTGAATAACGCTACAATATACATAGAAGTACAAACATCTCTTCAACATAATGATTTCATTGCCTTTGGATATGTACTCAGAATTAGGATTGCTGGATTGTGGGATTTCTTGAAAGAAGGCAAATGAATGATCAATAGATATATGAAAAAATTTCCAATATCTAATTATGAGAGAGATGCAAATTGAACCACAGTGAGATACCACTTTACAGCTGTTAGAATGGCTATTATGAAAAGTAAGATAACAAGTGTTGCTGAAGATGTGGAGAAGAGTGAACCATTTTATCCTGTTGGTGGGAACAAAAATTATTAAAGTCATTGCAAAAATCAGTATAGAGGTTGAAAAAAATACCCTAAAAGTAGAATTATCTGATGACCCATATTGTCTATAAGATTATTCAAAGAAAGATCTTTGTTGAGAAAAAGCAGTATAATATTGATGGCAATGTGAGATCAGAACTAAAAAATTTAAGTTAAGGTCTTCAGAATTAAAGGACTTAATTAGTTATATAAGTTATAGTAAGCAGATAATTCACACTGATGTATTAGTGTTTTATTACAGTTGTAGAGTCATAATCATTAATGTTGTTCTCCAAATACTTCTGGCTCTCCATCTTATAGAAACATGATTGATTGTACTTTCTGGTTCTTTTGTATTTGGATGGGATCATGAGATTAATTGTGGACCATTTATAATCAGAAGTAGTGTGGATCACTGGGTCAAAGTATTTAACTGGCACTGCAAAATCTTCACAAGTCTTTCTCAGCTTCTGACAGAGTGATTAATGTTTAAGTACTGGCTTCTCCATCAGTTTATGTTTAAATCTAAGTGTTTAAAATGAGCAGTGTTTTTTCCTGGATATAAGTAGTGCTAGGTATTGTGGAAAAGAAAGAATTAAGAAGGAAGAGAAAAGAGAATTCACAGTATCATGACAATTTAGTGTTGATGAGTGGAGTAAATATGTGTTATAGATTCTTTTGTCTTTCTAGACTTATTTTCCATATTCACAAATTAAACAAGTCTCACAGAGTTTCTCAATATGTTGTAAATATTACATATTTTATTGCATCTACATGTTTGGATAGTTTTTAATATTTAAAATATTCCCTTTTCTTAAATTTTTTCAACTTTCCTGTTAAAATTCAAGCCATTCTTCAAAATGACCTTGGATTATTCCTTTTTTTTTCTTTTTTCCTTTTTCTCTTTTTGGAGAGGTTGTTTTTCGCTATAGGGTGCGTGCATTCGCCAGACAGACAGAGAGAGACATAGAGACAGAAAGCGAGAAATCAGCCCCCCAGGGGAGATGGTCACACCGCAATCCCTTCTCCTCCATTTTCCTTTTGGGATCTTGGGCATGCACGCTCACGCGCCCAGCATGAGTTTTAAGCCACCGGGTCCGGGATGCGAACCGCGGTCGACCACATGGGAGTCCAGCTACATAGCCATTACGCTAATTGCTGGTTCCCGGCCTTGGATTATTCTTACAATAAGTCTTTCCCACCAAACCACCAAGCTTCCTACCAAACTCATGTAGTTTTTTCCTCTAAAATCTAACAGGAATTAGAGAGAGTCTGGTATCATAAACAGTTCTGCCTGGCAGGTAAGTAAAGATTGTCACTTCCTGACAAGCCCCAAAACTTTAAAGTACAGGTACTTAAAGGTGCAATCAGAGGGTGAGTTCCTAACTTGGCTCAGTAGCCATGGGAAGCCTTTTGCTATTTTTTTTTTTTAAAGAATTGTCTATTTAATTTTTATTTATTCATTCATTTATTTTAATTTGACCAGAGAGAGACACAGAAAGAGAGAGAGGGAAAATGAAAAAGCAAGCCACCAGGTCTGGGACTCAAACCATGGCTGGGCATGTGGGAGTGCCCAGCGTCTTAACCACCATGCCATCCACTGGTTTCTTAAAGAACCTAATCCAAAGTTCCTTATAAAAGGTTTCAGCAAAGCTAGCTAAATCAATTAGCATTCTTATGGGGCTTTGTGCAAATAACAGTCCAAATAGAGACTAAACTTATTTTTTTGGAAATAAGTTGGTTTATACCTCTCTTTGGTAAAGGGGGCAATGGAGGGAGACAAAAATTTTCCAGAAGAAAATTCCAGTAGACCTGTTACTAGATTTTAGTTTTGTCCATGTCTGTTTTTTGAGTTTTTCAGTATCTACCGACTATTTGAACAGAATCCTGACCTTTTTCCTGGTTTTAAGTCTTAAGCAAATTTTTCTGAATTTTTTTTATTTTGATTTATTAAAGCTAAAACTGCTCTTCTGGAAATTAAGAGAAAACATAAAAACAAACAAAAAAATACAACTACTTAATGACCACACTAAGCTATGTAGCCTCAGCTAGGTGCTTTATAGACGGTTCATTCTACTCACTGAATTTTATGCCTAAAGTCAGACATGTGTTCATAGATATGTTTATATCAGCTGCACTTGCCATCGACAGTATTTAGTGTAGTTATTATGTTTTGTGAATTGATAAAATGTGGGAAAAAAAACACATGGAAAGCAACTATAGACACCAGACAGAGTAGAGGAGAAAGATGAGAAATCACAGAGGTGAGAGGGAGAGAATCAAGGGGAAAAGAAAAGATGCAAAATATGTAAGAAACAAGGAATGGAAAATTATTTATTGAAGATAACATATATGGTAATATCTTTGATTGAGCCAATATACAGAGTATTATGGATGAGTAAACTCACTTTCTATGCTGTAATGATATACAGTGAATGAATGTAAAATAAAGAAATTTAAAATAAAAAAGAAGTAACTGATTGCTGGTCATCATCAGGCTTTATGAAATAGTCATTCGTAGAAAAGCTTTATTCTTCTATAAAGTACCAGTTCACTGAAGGTTGCTGAAACTGTTGTCCTGAAACTAGCAGTATCTAGCTTGGGATTGAATTTGTATTTGATCAAAATCATTGATAGAATCCTTGTGTTTTGGTCACAGGTCAATGGTCTCACCAAAATTCAACACTGGTTCTCATTCTCTTTGAGTGTTCATAATCTCTTAGTCCATACTTTGTTTTTCCTATGAGTGAACTCTGTCCCTTAATTTTCTCAGGCCTTTCTTCATATCTTTATTTCTTAGGCTGTAGATGAAAGGGTTCAGCATGGGTGTCACTATTGTGTACATAACAGTGGCCACCCTGTCCTTTACCACTGAGTACATGGACAGGGGCCTAAAATAGACATAGATGACACTCCCGTAGAACAGGACCACTACAGTGAGGTGTGAGCCACAGGTAGAAAAGGCCTTCCACTTCCCAGCTACAGAGGGGATTCTGAGCACAGTGACAATGATTCGTAGGTAGGAGAAGAGGATGCACAGGAAGGGGGTCGCAATGACTGCCAAGGTCTCGGTCATGACCACAATCTGGTTGGAGGATGTGTCAGAGCAGGACAACTTTAGCACGGGTTGAGTGTCACAGAAAAAGTGCTTAATGACATGGGAGGCACAGAAAGACAGGCGAGACATGAGAAGTACACGGAGCAGAGAGTGCAGGTGGGAGATGGTGCAAGAACCCAGTAGCATAAGGAGACAACGCCATGGGTTCATAACCACATCATAGTGGAAGGGTTTGCAGATGGCCACCAGCCGGTCAATGGCCATGGACGCCAGCAGGTAGCTGTCAGTGTTTGCAAACGCTATAAAGAAATACATCTGTACCAGGCAACCCACATAGGAAATAGCCTTTATCTCTGAGAGTAAATTCACCAGCATTTTGGGCACGATGACTGTTGTGAAGCAGATGTCCATGAAGGACAAGTTGCTGAGAAAAAAGTACATAGGAGAATGGAGCCTGGAATCGGAGCGGATGGCCAGGATGATGAGCACATTCCCCACCACGGTGACCAGGTACATGATGAGGAAGATTGCAAAGAGGGGCTTCTGCATCTGAGGGTTAGAAGAGAGGCCCAGGAGGATGAAGCCTGAGGAGCTGCTGCTGTAGTTCTTGATCTCTATGTCTCCGGACATCCTGGACGGGTTAGGGGAGGCAGTGGGAGAGATGCAAACATCATTTTGCTCAAGAAATCTTTTTGCCTGACCTCAAGCCTATAGTAAAAATTCCAGTGCCATTTACACTATGACATTGTAACACAATGTTCAAGCATATTTTTTTTTAAATTTTTACTTTTTTTGGGGGGGGTAGGTTTTTGCTATATGGTGTGTGTGCTGGCCAGAAAGACAGAGAGAGACAGAGAGACAGAAAGTGAGAAAACACTCCCCAGAGGGGATGGCCATGCCGTAATTCCTTCTCCTCCATTCTCCTCTCGGAATCTTGGGCACGCACGCACACGCATCTGGCGTGAGCTTAAACCACTGGGTCCAGGACTCGAACCGCGGTTGACTACATGAGAGTCCAGCGGCATAACCATTGTGCCAACTGCTAGTCCCAAAGCATATTTATTTTAAGAAACTAATTAGAAAGTGACAGTAAAATCCAGCAAAAGAAAACTTAGAAAAGTCCAGTTGCTTCCCATATTAGAAAATGAATCTTTGTGTATTTTAAGCATTTCTATCTGGCCTACATTGTGTGAATTCTCTTCCTTTCCCTTCATCAAGAATCTTCTTGACATAGGGCATGTGTGCTCACTGAAGAGAGGAGAGAGAGGGGAGACAGAGAGCAAGCAAGCGAGAAAGGGAAAGTGAGAAAGCACCCTCTAGAGGAATAACTATGTCACAATCCCTTCTCCTCTACTCTCCTCTTGGGACTTTGGGCATGCCATACATATGCCCATTGTATTTTTCAGTCCACCAGGTCTGGCATTCGAACTGTGGAGGTTTGACCAATTTTTAATTTTTATTTTTTTCCTCAGAGAACAATTTTTGGGTCTCTCTTTGAATCAGTATGTTTTCATATGTGGGGTGACCATGAATAGGCCTCCTCAATTCAGTGTCCTTCTTGTCCAGACATGGTGGTAATATTAGGGATAGTACAATAATGAGTATAATCCATACTCCTTGGTACCTACAGAATTCTGGTGAGGCTTCCTTAAGTCTTCAGTGCAAAAACTGCTTAATGTCTGTGTCTGTATCTCTTTGGTTAGTAAGCTCTAGACACTTTAATTATAAACTTCTGGTCCAGAAATGCCACTCAAAGAGGAATATCTACTAGGAATAGCCTATGTAACTGAGATGATTTCTTTAAATATGTAATTTTTTTCTGATGACAAAACTATGAAGTTCTCATTCTAAACATTCTTATACTACAGGAATATAAAACTTAGAATGTCAGTCTCATTCCTGACAGCATCATTGAAAAGATGAGAGACAAGGATAGCTTCTTCACCACTGTGAAGCTTCTTTGCTCAGCTGGTGAACTTAGCCAATAAATTAGCAAAATTAAAAAAAATAGGAGGCATAGACATAAGAAAAGATGAAATTGATATTATAATTTGGGAGACATGATTGTCTACCTACAAAATTCAAAATAATCATATGAAAACTCTAATGCCTATAAAGATTTCACTGAAGTTCTCAGATATAAGTTAAATTTAAACATATTAATACTTTTCCTGTATTAGGAAAATGTAATAAGAAAGAATTTCGATTAATAATGGCAAGAGTCTAAAAATTAACCTGAGATTTAGAAAAAAAAATGGGGAGAGACATAAAATCCATTTTAAGAAAGTAGAGCAGAGGGGCCAACAACTGGAGGTGTGGTGGTTAAGACACGGCTTCCACATGGCTCATCAGGGTTTGAGTACTGCATTTAGTGGTCTGGAAAATCACCCCAGGTCCATATGCATGCATGCTCAAAATCTCAGGAGGAGAATGGCAGAGAAGGGACTGTTGCGTGGCTGTCCCTGTGGGGTGATTTCTCACTTTCCTTTTCACTCTCTCCCTCCTTCTCAGGTGAGCTCATGTGCCACATGACAAGAAATGTAAGGGAAAAAAATATAGTAGAACAGAAATTAAAGATCCAAGTAAATGGAGATACTAGTTCTAAAAAAGAAATAACTATATTTTAAAATGTAATTTTCCCTTCTCATATTAATAAAATTTAATCCACCTCTAATAACACTCCAAGAGACATTTTTAGTGGAACTAGAGAAGGTTGTTCTAAAATTCATCTAGAGCACTAAATGGTTAAGGACAAACAAAATAATTTTTAAAAATTAGAGTAATGACAGGGAACTTTTCTAGCTCTAAATCAAAGCACAGAGTAATGAAAAGCAATAAGATATTTGCGCATACAGAGAAAAATCCAAAAATAGATGAATATAAAGGCTTTTCTGTATCTATATTTTAAGTGTATTTAGATTATGATCGCTAATAAACTTAATGTACAATAAAGATTTATTTCACAACAAAGAGGGAAGAATGGACCATTAACTCAGTTATATTTATGACAATTGAAATATTTTTGGGAAAAAAACCTAAATTTCTTGCTAACCCATCCAGTAAAACCAAGATGAATGAACAAGCTAAAGACTAAGATTCTGGACTATAAAATAAGCACTGGACAAAACTAAAAGAACATTTTTAAAATGGTGTCAGTATGAAAATGACATTCAAAGCAAGAAGTGAAATTTAGAATCAAGATTGACAAAATACTGCATTCAAAAATTTAAAAATCACATTAAAAGAGATAATAAATAAAGCAAAAAATAAAATATAAACCATTGATCAAAAAAATCTTCAATACAGATCCTAAAGAAAAATATTACAAGATATTCATTAGTAATCAGAAAATACAGATTAAACTGAAATACACTTTTTGCATATCAGATATGCAATGAATTTCTTTTTGATACTATCCAAAGCAAAATAGATCCTTATCTATACTGGTAATGAGATGATAAATCAATATAGCATTTTAGTAGTCTCTACCAGAGCCTTAAATCTGTACCTTTTTATTTAATAGTTCTATTTATTGAAATCTATCCTTTAGAAAAAAACCTATATATATATATATATTTTTTTTTTTTCGAAAAAGTCCTATATTTGTAATTCAAAACTATGTACACATTTTTTTTTGGAGAGTTTTTTTTTTGTTGTTGTTGTTGTTTTGCTATAGGGCGTATGCACTCACCAGAAAGACAGAGAGAGACAGAGAGACAGAAAGCAAGAAATCACCCCCAGTGGAGATGGCCACACCACAACTCCTTTTCCTCCATTCTCCTCTCAGGATCTTGGACACGCACGTACATGCACCCAGCATGAATTTAAGCCACTGGGTTCGGGACTCGAACTGCTGTTGACTACATGGAAGTCCAGCAACGTAGCCATTATGCTATCTGCTGGTCCCAGTCCATATTTTTTAAAATAATTTTTTTATTTAATTTTATTATTATTTTTAAGTTTGCTATAGGGCATGTGCGCTTACCAGAGAGAGACAAAGAGTGAGAATGAGAACGAGAGAGAGAGAGAGAGAAAGTGATAAAGCAAGTCACCAGGCACAGGACTCTACTATGGGTGGCCATGTGAGAGTCTAGTGCCTTAACCACCTGATGGCCCTTGTACACACATTTTTATTGTGTTGCTTATAGTACCAAGCCAAACCAATTCAAACCAAAGAAAACTCATTGAGGAAACAACCTAAATATGCACATGTAAGTGAATTAGTAAACAAGTTACAGTGGATTCTTATTACTCAATATCATGCAGTCTCTGAAGAAAGAAGATGGCTAATGTTAGCCAACATTTATGGTACCCAGTATATGGCACACATTGAGCTAGGTGCTTTGCATGCCTTTTGTCATTTTGTTTTCTCCAAATCCTGAGAGATAGACACTATTATTATTTCAATTTTACAGAAAGAGTATTAGAGTTTAGCAAATCTAATTAACTTACCAGATCCCACAAGTAGAGCTGGCTAAGCTGGCTATTACACTACTGTTTATGATATTTTTAAGTGACAAAAGCAAGTTACAGAAACATGCATATACTATAATTTTATTTTATACTGAAAATATTTCTTGGGGTCTGTAGGTGGCATGGTGGTTAAAGTGCTGTACTCCCACGTAGCCAACTGTGGTTTGAGTCCAGGATCTGGTGGCTTACTTTCTCACTTTCCTTTTCTCTCTCTCTCTGCTTGGTGCACATGCTCTATAGCAAATTTAAAATAATAATAAAATTAAATATATAATTCTTTAAAAATATTTGTTTTATATATTGTTTTCACTGTGGTGCATAACTTATGTGTATGTGGTTGCCTTCTGATGGAGGGTGGAGTGATGGCATGAGGAGAAATTTCCACATTCAAGTATGTATTCTATGTATAGTTATTTGCATATATTTGATGTCTGTACAATGTTTTTGAATGTGTATATCTTGTGGAATGGCTAAATTGGACCAATTTACAGATGTATTACCTCATGGACTTGCTTTTTTTGTGATGAAATTGTATTGTTTGAAATTTAAAAAATGGAAAAATATTTGTATCAATTTTATAATTCAAAATTCTAAAGTTCGTCATAATTTTACTTCCCTAAGAAGTACAGTTGTGCACATGTTTTGAAGCCTTCTTTCCCTTCTTCATAGATATCTATATATACACTATATACAGGATTGGGGGTCATACGCCCTACAATACTTTTGCCCCAATAACTTATAACAAATATTTTTGTATATACATATATATATATTCACACATTAATATATTTATATATATAATGTACACATATATACTATATATACAATGTATATAAAATACTATATATGTTGGGTCATCAGAAAAGTCATGATGTATTTTTCTGTTTTTCTGTGCAAAAATGTGTCATGACTTTTCTGATGACCCAATATATGTAGTAATCAGAAGAGAATTTCTGTGGTGTAGAATAGATTTTGAAACATGGAATGTTAAGTTGGAGTTTTTGAACATTGAAAATCTTGATAGATACTCTCAACTTGAGGAAACTACCTTTGACCAGACTCTCAGGATTCTTGTCCCATGTCCTTCTCTGTTTCTGTCAGCCTCCTAGGACTTTGTTGGCTCTGGTGGTAAGAGGAGACCCTTTGGTCACCTTTGGACTTGAACCTAGAAT